GGGGGGGGGGGGGGGGGATCCTACCGTTCCAAGGAATGAAATTCAAGCTGTTGTACCGAGGCTGGCACGAGATCGTGAGCAGGGAACGGCGATGGCAAGTTTTCAGCAGTTGGAGATGAAGGATTTGAGGCGCTGGGGATGGTCATTGAGGCTTTGCCGCGCGAAAAGATCGGGGTTTGGTCTGGGATTTTGAGGGCTGCAAGCATGTCACGGGCTTGAGTATTGTTGGGGTCAATCTCAAGGATGTGGCGGGCGGTCTGCTCGAGTCCATGGGCGTCAGAGCGAGCACCATGAATTTTAAGCAGCAGCTGCAGGGTTTGCCAGTGCCCCGGTTGCAAGCGTAACGCCTGCGGAGAGCGTGGCCCAGCACGAGTGAAGAAGGCTTCAAGACTCTGGCTCCAAGAGCGGAGTGGTTGTTGTGAGACATACCTCGTGAGCGGCGTGGGCTGCCAGTTCATCTTTGGATAGTTGGTGGGCTGTACGCGCCACCATGAGCCAGGTATAATGATCTGAGGACGAAGCGGGAAACCTGGGTGAGGACAGAGGCCACATGGAAGAGCAGAATGGCATTGGGATATGTGCACCTGGTGTCTCCATGAGATCGAGGGCTAGGATGAGGGCATCCAGTGCTCCCTCATACTGTTGGCAGTCGAGCCTGGACCGACCAAGTAAACGGGCAGCACGTTGCCTGGGATGATGGCGTCGCATGGTGAGAGGCAAGAGCGTTCAACACCTGGGCCAGCTCACATTCCAGTCCTGGTGACATGATGAGGGTGAAACAGGAACGGCTTACCGAACTTTACGCAGCATACTACCGCTCTTAGCATCAGAACGATCAAGCGTGGTTACGATAGTGGCACAGATGCTTTGTGCCGTGGCATGGTCCTCAGTACCGTGGGCCTCAAAAGCCTTGTTCAGACTGGCGAGCAGCTCATTGATCTAAGTTTGCCAGGCGTTCGTCAGCTCGACCGTCTGCATGGCGTTTCTCTACGGGCCCATGTGTGCGGAATGAACGACCATGGACACACCTGAAGCTCGGTTGTCTGTGAGTCTTCATCCTCGTCCGCCTCCCGATCCACCGGCCGGAACGTCGAGGTCCTAGCCGCCGCCATCCTGACCCGCCATAAAATGCGAGAGAGAGAGAGAGAGAGAGAGCCAGAGAGAGAGAGAGAAAACTGTAACCGTCACTTGTGAAAATTTTTTCGTAAGTTTTATACAGTATTATCAACACTCGTTTATAACGGCGCGCGTGGTGTAGTGGTTATCACGTCGCTTTAACACAGCGAAGGTCATCAGTTCAATTCTGGTCGTGCGTATACTTTTTTGCTCTGGGCTCATGCATCAACTTTTTTTTTTAATTTTTATGGAAAAGAAGTGTGTGTGTGTGTGTGTGTGTGTGTGTGTGTCGTGCGTGATGAGGGGGACCTGTCTGCATGTGGGTGCGCGGGGTCGGTTACGGTCGTGGGGGCGGTTGCGGTTGTTGGTTGGGCCATGTTTGACAGGATTCTCCCTCTCGGGTTGATAAGGTGGGTCATTGAGTGTTCATGGTTCGATTGCAGATGGGTAAGGGACTCTAAACGGTGGCGCTCTGCGCCTGGGCGGTGGCCCATTCTTGTCGCAGCTCCTGGAGCTCGGCTTGACGCGCGGCAATGACTTCTTTGCGCTCACGCCGCGCTTGCATGGTTTCTTCGGAACGAACCGGCAGCCATTTGGGCGCATCAAAGCTGTCTACCCATTTCATGGCCCGGTATTGCTAAGAGGTCGATGAAGAAGGCGGCACGGTATGAGAGGCTCGCGAGCAAGCTACTCTGCATGCGGGTGGGAGGGGCTGGGCGGCATTAGCCAGACAGGTGAACCGTACCCAGTCGTCAGTGTGATGTTGGACAATAATTTCGCGGCGCATGGCTTGTAGTGAGGACAAGACGCCGGCATTGAAGAGGCCAAGACTGGATCCACCCACGGCAAACAGCGTTGTTTGCAGCGGGGTTGTGCCTATCATGGGATGGGCGCCGCCAGCGATCAAAGGCAGTACAACGGGAATAGGTGTAAGTCCCATCACCGGACGAGCCGGCCCTACCAAGACAGAGGCTGGTGGCTAGACCAGCAAGGGTGCCGGCCAGCGCGTGGCGCTCATACGTCGAGTAGGCGTCCTTGGGCTCCCGTTCGCCCAGCTCCCGCAAAGCGCCTGGGTGCACGAGCGGAGCAGGCTGGGTGAGAGCGCGTGGCACAGACCCTTGTCCACTGTGCAGGAGGGCCGCATTGGGTATTGGGTACAACAATCAACGAGGTGCATGCTGCTCTGACTGACCACTGTAGGCAGCGGTGGAAGCAAAGCCCGACGTGGCCAAGCGAGCGAGTGCGGCCTTGAATGAGCCACCCTGCCGGCGATAAGCAAGCACCGCCAACACGGACCCAATCGCGCCTACAAAGTACCCGTGCCAACACAGTCACATGCTCAATATCAAGATCCATCTGCTCCAAATGTTATCACACAGAGTGCCACACACCAGCACTTTCAAGCACAAGGCCAGTACCAGCACACCAGCACTTCATAGCACAAGGCCAGTACCAGCACACCGCCCCCACCTCCAGCGGCCCCATGCACCAGAATGTCGGCCATCTCTCTCTCTCTATGAAGAGATGAAAAAATTAAGAGAGAGAGAAGAGTTTAAGAGAGAGAGATTGTGTGAGAGAGAGAGAGAGAGAGAGAGAGAGAGAGAGTTGAAGAAAGAGTTTGAGGAGTTTTAGAGAGAAAGAGAGAATTTTAGAGAGTTGAAGAGAGAGAGAGAGAGAGAGAGAGAGAGAGAGAAGAGAGAGAAGAGAGAGAGAGAGAGAGAGAGAGAGAGAGAGAGAGAGATAGAGATGGGTCGAGAAAAAGAGAGAGAGAGGGCACAAACAGCACAGAGAATAATGCAATGTCAGACAAAAATATAACAGGTAAGGAGGGGCGCTCTACAAAAAGGACAAGCGCCCGCCAGCTGATCATGGCCACAACAACACCCTCAGATGGAAGCGAGCTTGTTGAGGATGGCCGCTACGAGGGCATCTGGCACGTGTCGCTGCTCGACGTTGGTCGTCGGCATCCAGGCGTGGTACATCACGTTGGAGCCCAGTCGGAAGCGCGCGAGCGCCTCCTCAAACCGATCGCACATTTTCACCAAAAACACCTCTTTCTGCTCGCTCATGATAAACTTGAGCTCGTCTGCCGTGCAAAAACCCACGCCGGTGTCCTTGCCATAGGTCCGGGATCCCATGACCACCACCAGCCGACACTGATCGATGTTTTGCACAATTTCATCAACGAGGTCACCGCCGGCCTGCACGGCACAGAGGAAGACCCGAAGGCCACTCGCCTCGAGTCGAGCTTTCAGGGCCTGGCCTGCCGGAAGCGTCTCGCCGAAGCGCAGCGATATGAAGATATCTGGTCCATGAGATGGCGGCGCACGCACCGCAGTTGCCCGTGAAGGTGCAGGTGCAGGTGCACTGCTGCTGCTGCTCTGGGCGCGTGGCTCAGGAGGGCGGCGGGCGGCGTCCGACGGCGGCGTGGTCGCAGCAGGTTTGGAGGCAGGTGGCTGTGCGGAAGGGTGATGTTTGGCAAATGAGATGATGCTTCAATGGGGTGGATGGCGGCAATCAGTCAAACATACCTGCGACGATGGCGCAGCGGTGCTTGCGCCGAGTCGTTGCTCGCGTGCAGCAAAGAGAGGCTCAATCTCGGCCGCATGCCCCTCGGCACGGGCTAGTTTCAGCGCAGTTTGGTACTTCTGAGGATACGGATTTGATAAAATGTGAGGTCACAGTTTCAGGCAAAAGAACACCGCAAGCGATGACGCGATCTGAATAAGGGTGCGGCAAGGCGGTGGCTCGGGCTCGGGTCCAGCACTCACCCTGTCCGTGATGGTCACATCAACCTTGTCGTGGCCCAGCAACTCTTGTACAACATCAGCATGACCGGCACAGCAGGCCTCGTGCAGTGGAGTCCAGCCATCCTGTAAACTTATGGTCGTGAGACTTGACTGTGCCCCAGGCGCGCTGCCACCTTCATCCCAATGGCAAGGCAGGGAGCATATCACCCACCTTGTCCTTGATGTTGACATTAATCTTGTCGTGTTTCAACAGCTCTCGTACAACGTCCGCATGATCATGGATGCAGGCCCAGTGCAGAGGGGTGTAGTCATCCTGCCATGCACAACGTGTCGGGCAGGTGAGGTGCTACACACACGTTGTCCAACTGGCGGTTGATTCATGACCCACATCAGTCTTGGCATTCACATCAACGTTGTTGTGACCCAGCAGCACCCGCACAACGTCAATATGACCCTTGAAGCAGGTCCAGTGCAGTGGTGTCCAACCTTTCTGCCAAATCAGGATAAGCCACAAGCCCAAGCCGATGGATGGCATCTGCGTGAGTCACCTTCCAGCCCGCGGCGTGCACCAGATTACAGGCATGGCTGACCGGGTCCTTGTAGCAAACAGCAGACTGGACTCGATCTTTCGACCAGCTGCGCAACAGTTCCAGTGTATCGCGTGGGAAATCCGACAAGCATGAACCAAGCAGCTCTCTGCCGTCGGACATGTTGCTGGCTGCCGGGGCACCGCCGAGCAATTCGTCAATCAGTCAATCAATCAATCACATCAGTTTTCTCAATGACACCCCACCCAATCCTGGTCCACCAGCACATACCTCTTTGCGCCTGCTTGCTGCCTCAGTCACCCCGTACTGCCACCAATCACGCCTCCTCGTCCCCCCGCGCTCCGCCGCCACTGAGGCAAAAAAAATAAAATTGCCTGAAGATCCAACAACTCCCAAACGACCACAAACATTAAAAAAAACCAATTTAAAACTTTACATCCTAGGATTCTAATTCTTAAACTTTACGGAACGTGTACTTTACGTGTTACAAGTGTTGTTGTTGTTGTTCTCAAAAAAAAAAAAAAAAGTTCATCAGATGTCAGACAATTTTAGAGGTTTGTGATCTCGATTAACGATGAGAGAGAGAGAGAGATTTATTTTTGAGCTGACGCGGGCAGTGAGTCAGTGACAGCGGCGGCAGCGCTTGACCCTCTGCCCTGCTCTGCCCTGCTCTGCTCTGCTCTGCTCTGCTCTGCTCTGCTCTGCTCTGCTCTGCTCTGCTCTGCTCTGCTCTGCTCTGCTCTGCTCTGCTCTGCTCTGCTCTGCTCTGCTCTGCTCTGCTCTGCTCTGCTCTGCTCTGCTCTGCTCTGCTCTGCTCTGCTCTGCTCTGCTCTGCTCTGCTCTGCTCTGCTCTGCTCTGCTCTGCTCTGCTCTGCTCTGCTCTGCTCTGCTCTGCTTCCTCTGCTCTTCTCTGCTCTGCTTCCTCTCCTTCAGACGTGTTCATTTCGCCTCCTGCTCCTGCTGCAGCTGCAGGTGTACTGGTGTTTTTTTCCGGCAGAACTTGAACCTGGTGGCAATCAAGAGGGGTTGAGAACGACGCAGGAGACGACGGTGCGTTGGCCAAAGCTGTGGTTGACCTTGCTTGGCGCTTGTCGTAGGTGTCAGTGTTGACCGGGGCCTTTGTTTTCTGATCTTGAATCTAGGGTGGTGGGCTGATATCAGCTAACCATTGGCATCAGCAGCGCCATGGCCAAAAAAGTCAGCCGACGCGTTGAGAAGGAGTTCAACGCCCTGGTGCGACCCGCCGTTTCCTCAGATCGTCGAGCGCCGGGGCTGTTGTTGGGACCTTGCCCTCACATGGAAAGCGCCGCGTTTTAGAAAGCCGAGCCTCCAGCTGGGGTTCAGCTCTTGTCTGCCAGCGCTGGGGAGCGGCCATGGATCATTGAGCTGACGGGTGCTCCCGAGACACTGTATCACAATGAAACCTACCGCCTTCAAGTGACCTTTCCTGCTCGCTACCCGTTTGACAGCCCGGAAGTTGTACGTTGTATGCGTGTCTGTGGCCGCTCTTCTGCGCCCCCCCCCCCCCCCA